TGAGTGCTGTGCATACCCGATGCCCAACAGGATGGAGAAATGAAGAAGGGATTGTAGTGTGACTGTGTCCTACTGGGGGATGCTTTCTCTCTCCTTCTCTGTCATGAGCATGTATGTCCTCTGGCAGGAAAACAACAACAACAACTAATTCGAAGAAGGAAGTGTTATCAAGCATAAAACAAGGTGAATAAAAGAAATAATAAAAATAGCAGAAATTACAGGGAAAAACCATTTAATTGATACAAAAATAAAAAGTAGATTAAGAAATAGTTAAGTTTTTGTGGAACAGATTTTAGTTCCTTTTACCACACAAATGAAAAAATGTTATGTTAATCTGTATGTAGCTGTATTTATCTCAACATTTTGTAAACCTCAAATGTACCCAACAAAAGATTTTTTAAATGTAAAAAAAGCAGAAATTAATAAAATTAAAAAGAGAAAAATAGAGGAAATAATCCGAAATATATTACTTTGTACACCTAGCTATACCAATCAAGAAAAGAAAAAAAGGGAGAAGACATCCAGTCTTCAATATCCAGAATGAAGAAGTGGGTAATACTAAAACTGCTACAGATATTAAAAATAACTATTTTATTGAATTACAGAAAGTAATTAACAAAGAAGAAATTTCACATTTTAAAAATTAACAAAATTTGAGGGCCAGCAGGTGGCATGGTGGTTGGATTCTGGGCTCCGATACAGCCGACTTTGGTTTGAGTCCTGGACCTGGCAGCTTGCTTTCTCACTTTCCCTCTCTCTTGCTCTATCTATCTCTCTGGTCAAATTTTAAAAAGAGAGAAAAAAAAAAAAGAAAGAAAAATAAATAATAATAATAAATAAATAAAATACTTCTTTTAAAAATTTGACAGAATTTAAGTTAAAATGTTCATGGTATTGATAGTTAAAAATCTCTAATATTAAGCTGAAAATATTTTTATTGGAAAATTCTACTTAATGTTTATGGAAGAATTAATAATACCTTGCAGTTGTTTTTCTATAAAATGACAGAATAAGGATAATTTTCCAGTTCATTTTTTGAGGTCAGCATTACCCTGATACCAAAACCAGACAAACACATTGCTAGAAAAGAAACTAGGTCTGGCCCAGTAGCCTACTGGTTAGGGGAGCTGGATCTCACATGGCTAACCAGGGTTCAAATCCTGGACCGGGTTCAAATCAATCTGACATGTGTCTGTGCATACTCAAAATCTCTATAGGATAGAGAAATGGAGAAGAAAGGGTTGTGATTTGACTGTGCCCACACATTGTGGGGGTGCTTTCTCTCTCTCTTTCTGGCAAGTGCATGTGCCCTCTGGCAATTCAATCAGAAAATAAAAAACTACAATATTCTTTAGGAGCACAAACATAAACATCTTTAACAGCATATTAGCAAATTGTATCCAGCAGCTTTTGTTTTTTTTTTTTTTTTTG